GATGAAAAAACCTACCCATCAAAGAAGATGAACCACACAATTCACGCAATCTAGGAATAGCAGCAGTATTATTAGTAGCATTATCAAAACCAATCGCAAACACCTTATTAATCAAATTATACTCAATTAAAATACGCTCAATGAGAATATAAATATTATCACCGGTGTGTCTATCATTAAATTCACGAAAAGCAAGAACACGTTTATGCATACACCAATCATCATCAATATAATGTGCAGTCAAACCCAAATAATATAAATGATGATGAGTATCCTCCCATATATCACTACATATACTACACGTCCATCAAAGTTTGCAAAAAACGTTTGTAATTTTTGCTTTTCCAAAACATATTGCCTTATAACTTCTTTTTTAATTGTTTTGCGACTATAGTTTCGAAATTGGGGATTTAAAGAACCTTGAGCATATTCTTTTAAAGCAAGACTTTCAGAAAAAATAAAAGACAAATTTTCTTCAACAATTAAATGAGACATACCAGTCAAATGTCTTTGATCATCATAGGAGAAATTACCAAAGGGTTGGCCAGTTGCAAACCTTGAAATTTGTGTTTGCTTTCCTTTGCCTTTGTCCGATTTCACATATTCCGCCGGGTGCTTGGCCTTAAGATGCCTTGTGGCGCTCCCGTACCCTCCAGAAATTCCCAAGTTATACTTTTTGTTGCAATGCTTGCAAGTGGCGTATCATATCTCGGTTTCGAGGTCTTTAACTTTTGTAAAATTTGCCTTAAAGACAGATTCAGATTTCTCACCGGCTTGGGAAGAAGTAGCCACTTCCGCTTCCTCTTCCTCATCATCCGGTGTGCCATGATCCTCGTCCTCGATCATTCGTGGATCCCTCTTCTCCGCATCATCATCCTCAAGCTCTTCTTCGTCAATGGTTTGCGGGATGTCTTGTTGATGAAAAAACGTCCTTGATTTTGTTGCAATAGTTGTTCTAGTTGCTCATCGGTCATCGCATCCTCATATCTTTGGTTGTAATCCGCATCAAAATCATCTCGGGTGACCAATTAACTAGTTTTTATAGGAGATTAATAAATGTAACAATTAACTACTATGATAAGAGATTAATAAATGAACCAATTAACTAGTTTAAGAATTAAACAATTAATTTCGAATTAAGTAGTTTACCAATTAACTAGTTTTTATAGGAGATTAATAAATGTAACAATTAACTACTATGATAAGAGATTAATAAATGTAACAAACTAACAATTAACTAGTTTTTATAGGAGATTAATAAATGTAACAATTAACTACTATGATAAGAGATTAATAAATGTAACAAACTAACAATTAACTAGTTTTTATAGGAGATTAATAAATGTAACAATTAACTAGTTTAAGAATTAAACAATTAATTTCGAATTAAGTAGTTTACCAATTAACTAGTTTTTATAGGAGATCAATAAATGTAACAATTAACTACTATGATAAGAGATTAATAAATGTAACAAACTAACAATTAACTAGTTTTTATAGGAGATTAATAAATGTAACAATTAACTACTATGATAAGAGATTAATAAATGTAACAAAATAACGATTAACTAGTTTTTATAGGAGATTAATAAATGTAACAATTAACTAGTTTAAGAATTAAACAATTAATTTCGAATTAACTAGTTTACCAATTAACTAGTTTTTATAGGAGATTAATAAATGTAACAATTAACTATTATGATAAGAGATTAATAAATGTAACAAACTAACTAATTTAACAATTAAATAATTAATTTCGAATCAATAAAATTCGAACTATTTGTTTTACAATCTAACAACTTTATTTAACAAGTTTAACAATTAACTAGTTTTTATAGAGATTAATAAATGTAACAACTAACTACTATGATAAGAGATTAATAAATGTAACAATTAACTACTATGATAGGAAATTAATAAATGTAACAATTAGATAATAAGTGTATAAGTAGATATACTTAATATATATATATATATATATATATATATATATATATATATATATATATATATATATATATATATATATATTTATAAGTAGATAATAAGAAGATTAACTAGTAATATATAATATTATGTTTATAGTATATATAATATAAGTATATTACTATAAGATTAGTAATACACTTATATATAATACTTTAATATATATAAGTATATATTAAGTATATCTAAAATGTAAATATAAGTAAATAAATGAGAGATGATTATATATGTAAATATAATATAATATAATATAATATATGTAGTTATAAATTTGAGAAGATGAAGATGGAGAAGATTAGTAGAGAATAGAGATTAGAGAGTAGGAATATTTGGAGAAGATGTGTAGTAAATTGTATAGAAAAAATGGAGTATTTATAGTTTTTTTGTACCCCCACCCCCCACCCACCCCACCCCCCTAACCCACCCCGGGACCCCAGGAAGGCTCCCAGCGGCTATATAGCCGTTTGGGTTCAATCACAACGGCTCTAAGGCCTGTTTGGATAGCCAAAAGATTTTTTTTAAAAAAAAAAACTATCTGTTGGCCCGAACCTGCCGGGCCGGACCTTCAATTTTCTGAACCGTGCCCGAACCGCTACCCTCCCCCGGGCCGGATCAAAGCCCGCACCACCCTATCCTTAACCGGGCCGGGCCGGGCCCGCACAGTGGCGGGCCGGGCCGGTTCAGGGCCGGGCTGACCCGATGGTCCATCCATAATGAGGCCATAAATGCTAGGATTCCTAGCATAATATAACTTTTACTTTATCAGTTTGATGACTGATGAATTGAATCAAATTACTATCTAGTGTTTTGAAATAGAGGTAATATCCGTGGAACAAATTAAAGGGCAGCCCAGTGCACCGAGGCATCCCTTCAAAGCAAGGGTCCGAGGAAGGGTCCCACCACAACTATTGAACACATTAAGTTTACAAATTAAAAAGTGGGTTGAATAAGCCCAAATAATCCCTTACACCCTGACCTCCCGGTGCATACGCCTCCAAGCAACTTACTACGTATGCAATATGTGTATGCCTATGGATGGACCTGGGTCGGGTCGGTTCCAGTTCGGGCCTGGGCCCGGCTGGGCTTTTTTTTGGGAATGGGTGAATCGGAACCGGCTCGGGTAGACGGCGGTTCCGGGCCGGGCCGGTCCCGGTTCATTTTTTTTATTTCTTATTTATTTCACCCCCACCCCTATCCCCCTCCCATCCCCTCAAACCCATCGGAAATACCCAACCCAACCCAACTAAACCAGTCACAAACCCAAAAAAAGGCCCGAACCAGGCCTGGCCCGGCCGGTTCACTAAATTGAAGGCACGTACCTGACCTGCCCCAACCCCTGGTCCGGGCCTAGGCCCAGAACCGGTTACCCAAGACCGGGCTGGTCCAGGCCCGCACAGTAGCGGGCCGGGCGGCCTGAGCCCGTTCCATCCCTATGTATGCCTCACTGCGATATTGCGTACACCACTCCCAACACCACCGACAATGCCTTTTTCCCCATAGTCCAGTTATCATCAGACAATGAAGTGAACAAAGGTACACTCTTCTTAATCTTATTCTTATATAGCATGGGAGCACAATTGAATTGATTATAAAGAGAGATCTTAACTTCTGTCTGATAGCTAGTTATCATCAGCTTTGTTAGTTTATTCACGTATAATACACGTATAATTCGTGTAAACGTATAATACTCGTATAATTCACCCGTTTAAGTATTTTTAGCAAAAATACGTTAAAATTCACGTATTTAATGAACAATCCGAATAATACTCGTATAATGCGTATTTTATACGTATCTTAAAAAATAAACTTTAAGCATAAATGGTTTAATGACTTTAATCCTGTATTCCTATGTACGGTTGCTCCAACTCTCCAAGCCCGGACCCTAAAGCGGTAAGGCCCCAACTAATCCAAGAAAGTGCCAAGGTATTCACAATTTCACATTGCACGTAGAAGATTAGCAGGCGGCGGCAAGCTCTACGTCGGTACGTCCAGGTTAATACTCTAATCTGTATAAGCTATTCTTTAATAATTCCATTCTATTTAAATTTTAAAAAGCCACGTAGTTTATCTCTAATATTCCACAATGGATTAATGGGTTATATGTATTCACTATTCAATATTTCATGAAATTTTCAACTTTCATTAATATTACTACGCTCTTAATAAAATCGAGCCTTCAAACGTGAAGTACAATTCTCTCTTGTCGACATTTCCAGTTAACTTTTATCAACAAATTTGTTTTTTTTTATTTTTTGATGTTTGATGTCAATTTTTCATTCAATTGAACTTTATTTATATGATTCAATTGAGCATTAATATTAATACTACATCCGTCCTGAAAAGGTTTTCCGTATTGACTTTTCATGGTCAATGATGGCAAACTTTGGACAATGATTTTTATTTATTATATTTGTATATAATTTAAAAAGTTTATACTTATATGAAAATATTTTGAATAAGGAACATTTTGATATAATTTTCATGTTTCAAATATTTTCGTATTAAAAAATATCAATGGTCAAAGTTGAATGTCATTGACAAAAAAACTTAGTATTAATTTTTTAAAAATTGGGATTTTCATTTTAGTTATTACATGATATATCTAAGAACATATTTTCTTTTGTAGGGAAATTGCATCTTAAATCATTGAAAAATGTTGATATGTTAACTAATCATTTCTTTCTATCAACAATTTAGTGTGTATATATATATATATATATATATATATATATATATATATATATATATATATATATATATATGTGTGTGTATTATATGTCGTATTTTAAAGTTATTAAACGTTTAAAACGCGTACGTGTTCGTATTTTTGTTGCAAACGTATGAAACATATATTTAGCCGTATTTTATAAAAGTGTGTCGTATTATACACGAACGTATTTTATGATTGTATGATTCACAAACCATATTTTACTAACAAAGATCATCATAAAAGGTAGCTTTTTATTTATTTATTTATTTAGTGACATAATGGCTGCATCATTACCACACTGGTCTTGAATAAAATAACAATAGCATTCAACCATTTTTGCTAATTCTGCAGAGTATACCCTTAACTATAGTTATGTACAGAATGCTTTTCCAATTGATATATGGCCATATGGGTAATATATATGCAGCATTTTCTTAACATTTGTGGCTACAAACTGCCAGTGCAAAAAATAAATCAATTGAACACAAAAGTACCCATTCTTGATGCTACTGGCTAAGAAACATTACACAATGTCCAAAAAACTGCAGAAATCAATAATAAAGTTTAAGGACACTACAGCAACTTTTACGGTCTACAGATTTCAAGCACACTTTATGTTTCTTCATCATTTTGCTTCAGAAAACTTTGGTACCTGAGAGGATGGAACCAAGTGTACCCAACACTGCAAAAGCAAGAAGAGGACTAACATCCAGAGTATCAAAAATAGGGGGGATTATATTCCTGAAGAGATTCAAATATGGATCACAAAGATCTCTGATAGCGGACAGTGGCTGTCTTTCCCATGGTATATTCGGGAACCAACTGAGCAAAACCCTAATCATCAAAACACCGCTATATATATCAAGCCATTTACCCATCCCAGCAGCGATCACCGTGAGCGGCGTGTTCACAGCAACAGTGGAGCTTTTTGCGGCGGCGAAAAACGCGGTCCCTGCAGAGCACACCGGAGCCCCCCACCGGAATCCATTCAGATGCAAACCAAGGTTGTGGGCTACAACTTTTGAGATTGCGATTGCGAGCACGAGAAGTGTTGCGGCTGAGCGTGTTGACCCTGTGAGTGGCGACTCGGCGGTCAGCGAGTCTTTGCAGAGAATACGCGAAGAGGCGGAAACCCTAGGAAGCAAGTTGGAAACTCTGGTGGTGAGAATGGGAATTCGAGGGCGTGGAAGGTGGTTTTGAGAAGAAAGAACGATCGGGCAGAGATTGCGACAGTGATAACAATACAGAGGCGTTTGTAGAATTGTGGCTTGAGAAGCCACCAGAGAGGAAGCCATTGGATCTGCTGTTCAGATGAAAACAACCTGTTAATGTGTCATGATCAAGTAAGTGACATGAAATGCCATGATTGTATCCAAGAACTGCATGCTTAAAAATAGGTACCTATTTGTATTATCAAGAAAAGTTTTCCTTTAGATCTTAAAGAATATAATACTTCGTACTTTAAGTCTTTAACAGTGCAAATGAATGCAGTGGTATTAGTTTACCAAATAGTTGCTCCAAATGTACATTTTGAAAAAGCCAATCACAGTAAATATATGGTTATCTACCTAAGTTAGGCTTTAAAATGCTCTGAAGATGAATTTGTTGTGGATTAATAATAAATTAATACCACTTCTTGATACTCAAGTCTTTAAAAAATAGAAATATATGTTACGATAATTTTACCTTATGCTCATTTGACTTGACCAAACTCTGTTTTGTATGTTCATGAGTCATCTCCCCATAAACAAAAAATGAATGTTAAGAGTTTTGATAGTATTACGTCGATGATCCTTTTCCTTATCATGTGTATAACTTCAATTGTTTTGATTGTTAAGAGCGCAAATACTAGATGAGACTACTTATTGGTGAGTTCACAATATTGCATTTTAAAGTATTTATTTCGTGATTTCAGATTACACTGGCGATTAATTTTGATGTACATTCAGCTGTCATCGTGAATTCATAATTTACGAGAAATCTCTATTAGGTCAATTATATTGATGACAAAAGCTCTATTAGGAAGTGAATATTATTTCTCAACTAAAAGCACTGATTGAGCTACGATAAACACACAACTAAATGTTTCAGCTTTATGAGTCTCGACTCTTGAGACGTAATGTTTTCATTTTTGGTCAATGCTTGCAAAGCTAATAAAACAAGTTTCAATATAGAAAAATTAGGTTGGAAGTTCTTGGGTTCATGCAAAAGTTGTTGAGGTGAAAGTGATGAGAACCGGGCACAAATATTAGATCACAAGTTAGCGTTGGAATCCAACTTCTACTGGAGCATGAATAATTCTGCTCTAAATTTGGATCCAATTATATGGTAAAAAATATGAGATGTTACAAAAGACCCATTTTTAATTGACCTCTAATAGTTTGAAATTCAAATAAAAACATATTTAAAGTAATTTCTTATCATAAGTTATCAGTTAGAGTTGAGCTCTATTAAAAAATTTAGTTAGTAGTTTAGCTTTAGAAGGGCTAATGGCACTCTTACTTTGGTATATCATTTTCATTTTCATTTACCCCAGTGCCGCAAAGGCTCCCACCTACGGTGGGGTAAGGGGGGTCAGATGTACGCAGTCTTACCCCTGTACTAAAGCACAGACTGTTTCCGGATGACCCATAGTGAAAATCGCGTCCAAAATTGCATGGACTGACCGATGCTCCATAACAAAGAAGCGCAGACAGTTTAGTGAGTCATTTTGCTTTATTCCATCATAATCTCAAGCCAAAAAATAATGAATCTTTGGCTCCCAATGAGACCAAACTCACAGAGAAATGAAATAAAGATACCACTCATTTTTTGGGGATAAAAGCATTCAAAAGAAATGGAATTATTTAGTATATCATAAGTTTCTAAGTTAGATGTTAAATTCAAACAAAAAACATTGCACATTGTTTGCTTTTGTATAAAAGTGGAATCATGTTTTTAGCTCATCTCTTACACGAGTACTACGCATATACCTCACCTCTCACATAAAATGATTCTGCTTTCTGCTCTTTCATGATTTCACAAAGATTTGAGTATGAACAACGGGAAATGCAGAAAGCTTTGTGATTTAAGTAGTTGAGTTTCAATTTAAAAAATTGGGCACACTATAAATTATCCTGTTAATTTGTAGATGTGCAATCATACTTAACACATGAAAACTAAAGAGTAAAGACATTGTGACTATTGATATAAGTAAACATTAAAAATGAATGAAAAATTACAGGCACTAAAAGTGAATTGTGAAGTCTTAGAAATTGTTGCACGCCTCTTTTCTTTTGTATATCACTCTGTTTATTTGTAAAGTTTATGATTTCTTTAAGTAATTTCACAAAAAACTTCTTTTAGTAATTTAATTAATTTTTTACTTGTGCTAGAGATTATGCATATCTGCATTTGAATATAAGGGTATTCTTTGAAGTAGTGGTGGGCAAGAAAAATCGTAACCGACTAACCGCGGTAAATAACCGGAAAACCGATGTTTTTTTGGTTAACCATACCGTGTTTTTAAAATTTTGTGGTACGGTTAACCAACCGTTAGAAAAAAATGGTTTACGGTACAATTATGGTTTTGAAATTAAATACCACCGGTTAACCGTTAATACAAAGTTAAGAATTTGTACATACATTTTGCTTATCAATTTTCAAATTACAGTGTATTTTCTGTTCCAGATATCCAATATGATCGAATTCATAAAACTGACACCCGAGACCATCAGTTCAATTTGGCAGCAACAAACTCTATCCTAAGAGGCAAGGGCAGCCTGGCAACGAGGCCATGGCTGACGGAAGAGCATGGCCATTTAATTTTGTTTAAGAACGTGTTTGGATGCCAATATTCTTAACCCATTTACTTAGGCCAATTTGGGTAAATGAACAAAATTGCTCCCAGCCATAGTGGACAAATGGCCCATCTGAGAACTTTCCCCAAACACGTGGGTGATACAATTACTGAATTACCACAATCAGTATAGGGGAGACAGAGAAGCATGAAGACTGAAAAAATTGATGAATTTCTACAGGCTTCAACTATGAGATTTGAGAAATCCGTGATGAACGAACACGATAAGCATATGGAGTGAACTAATAAACTATCAATTTAAAAACAACAACAAAATTGTTATGATTTATTGGTTAACCGTTACTCCGTTAGTGGTTAACCGAAATATTGGTTAACCGACACTCGGTTAACCATTGTTATGGTACGGGAAACGGTATATAAAATTTAGTAACCGATAACACGGTTAACCGAAAATTGGTTAACCAAAATGCGGTTAACCAACCGTGCCCACCCCTACTTTGAAGTGCACTAAGTAACATAAATTAGTATAAGTGGGTTTTAAACTTTCAGTTTGATCATGTCGTAATATTAAACCAGAATTGTGATTTTCTAATGAAAACATATTCAAAGTGATTAATTTGTTCATAATTTCCAAGTTAGAGTTGAGTTCTAATAAAAATTTAGCCAACATGTTAGCTTTAAGAATGATTTGTGGCATTGTTGTTTTTGTATAGAAGTAAAAAAATCTTTCAGCATATCCCACATGCACATACGAAATTGTGTAAAACAAAGTAACAATTTTGAATCATGAAAGAGGATCCTACATACGTGCTTATAACAGAAATGCAAAACTTTCCTTATTTGTAAAAACTCCACACCACCATACTCTTCTCTCTAACTTTTATCTAGAAAAAACTTCATTGAGATGCTTCCTTCCTTCCTTTGTTCATATATTCCATGTCTCCATTACTGTGCTTTAAACCAATTTGTGATATCTATCCTATGATGCTCACAATGCAAATTCAACAATAATTATTCATTAAATGTGTGCATAAGTGTTTGGGGTAAAATCTGTAATAAATATAAATTTGGATATACGAAATAGTTGGATAATCATCACAGTTTATTTTTCACAAATCAATTCTTGTGTAATATGTTTTCTGAAGCAGCACGTTTACATGCAAGCATTCCGCATACTTAACAAGCAATTCCGGATCATAAATTTGAAAATCACAATTTTTGAGTCCTTATTCAATAAAATATAAATTTGAACGGAATTGTTTTCAAGCAAATGAATATGAAGTGTACAAACTAAATACATATCTTTTTAAATGAAAAAGAAAGTATAATAAAGTACTTTAGAATTGTATGAAAAGGAAATTAATTGAAGTCATTAAATCGTAGCACTTACCTATGAAAACTTAGTTGACGATTGGGGGTAGTAAAGGTGCTGGAAGTCGTCGGAGATGCCGAAAGTATATGATGACCGGTTGTCGGTGAGGACAACACAATGGCGATCGGTCTGTGAGTTAATGGTTGCGACCGGCCAACAGAGGGTGCAAGTGATGACAAACGAAGATGAAAAACGACGATCGGTTGACGCAGATGCGAGTGCCAATGGCTATGGACCTATGGTTGTGGTCGACGATTACACCGTACAGATGCGGAGGTGAGGCGGTGGCTTTTGGGATGAGATGTTGGGCTAGGTTGGCGTGAAGGAAATTTCGGTTTGGAGAGTAATTCATCTAGGTTTTGGGCTTTGGATTGTGGACTTTTGGGCTGCATTTTGGTCTGGATCTGTCAATTATTAAAAAAAATTTAAATAAAACATGAGTAGTATAGATATGGAATAAATTCTCATTAGATTGGAGTAAATTCAAGTAATGAATCAATACTAATAGTATTAATTCTAGCGATATAGAATTCTCCCTAGAGTGGTTATTACCAGATTAAGTAAACATATTTTGGAAGCAAAAAAATTGACGCAAGTGAAAATTTATGTTTAAAAAACTGACTCGGTCCTGCTGTGTCAACTCGGACTAAAACTCGGTTCGGTTAGTTAAAACCCGAAAATGGTCAAAAACCAAAAAAACCTGGTGCAGACCCAGATAAGAAAACCTCGGTTTTGATTGTTTTTCCCCAAAAAAACTTTTTTTGAAAATTTTAAAGCCTTTTAAACCAATAAATTACAATTCAATACCCTAAAAAGAAATAATATACAATACGTTTATATACTTTTTATTTTTTTTCGCAATGAAAATCATATCAAATATGTGACCGGGTTGCTTTTCGGTCTGGTTTTTTAACATAGGTGAAATGGAGTTTTTTTTAAAGGAGGTGAAAAGGAGTTAAAGAACAAGAATATCCTTGAACTAGACGATTTAAGGTTGACTTTAAAGTTTCAAAGAACACAATTTCTTAAGATTGTCTCATATTCATTGACTCTAATATCGGTGGTTTGAAAATAGTTATATGTCACAAAGATCACAAAAATAACTACAAATGTTGTATTTATGTAAGTCTTTCCAAATTTGTAAAACATTTATAACTTTATGCTTTTATTATTGTGAAAATATTTTGTTTCTTAGATTTTTTTATGTTCATTTATAATTACAATTATTACAGTATGACGATCTAATTTATATGTGACAAATTATTAAATTACACGAATAATTCACATGGTTCAAAAACTTACTTTTTCATATGAGCAATATATTTTCCCATGCATCGCTCGGGTGGAATACTAAAAAATATAAATGCCAAGTACCTTATCATTCAACAACAATCAAGCATGTTGGGCCATATAAATATAAATATAAATATAAATATATTTATAAATATAAATATAAATATAAAGGAAATTTATCAATTCAGGACCCGAGAGATAGATGGATTATCAATTCGGGACCTGAAAGATGAGATCTATCGGTACATGACCTGAATGATGAAAAACTATCAATCTAGGACCTAAAATTTCATAGGTTTTGATTTATTTAATTTTTTATTAATTCCATTGCTAATTTTTTATAAACTTTTCTTCACAAAAGTTTATTAGTTTCATAAAACTAAATAATATTTAAAAATTTTAAGATAAAAAAATTAATAAAATTTCGGACAACTTAGGTCCTAAATTGATAATTTCCAATCATTCAAGTCCTAAATTGATAGCTTTCCATCATTCGGATCCTATATCGATACATTTCATCCTTCAGATCCTGAATTGATAAAATTCCAAATATAAAATAAATTTGACTTGATGCGGTCTGATCTTGGTAGGTTTGATCTGAGCTAATCTGTTTTAGCGAGGCAAAACCTCATCGCAAGTAAGAACGAAATCCTTTTTTAAGCGAACACTTGGACTACTCCTTTTCACCTTGAAGGCTTCTCGCCTTAGCGAGTGGGGAGACTCCTGATGGATATAAAGATACTCCCTTCGCCCCTAATAACTTTGTCAAGTCTGACCGGTACGGAGAATAATAAAGTACAAATTGTGTGATTAAGGTTTGTGCAGAGGAGAGAGAATGAGCTGTAACCACAAATTCTTTACTTAAAACGGAAAGTGACAAAGTTAGTGGGATATCCAAAAAAGGAAAGTTAACAAAGTTATAAGGGACGGAGGGAGTATATACTATTTTGGACCAAAGATACCTGATTTAATATTAGGCTATATAATGATATAAGGGACGGAGGGAGTATATACTATTTTGTATCTAGTTTGCTAGATTAGTTCCGATCTATGACATTGCCTAAGGATGTTTTCTTTTGGACCGTTTTGAGTCCCAAACCAGACCACTCCAGATCAGACCAGACCAGACCAAACTTCCATAGATATAAAATACACAGAGACAAGACATTTATCAGATCAGTTCAGACCAGACCATACCAGATCAGACAAGACTACCAAAAGAAAACATCCTAAGTCCATGGCTATGTTTGGCACACCATTCCTAAATTATCCCTGCACACAACCTCATATCTCGGTTCTTTCGCGCAGAATTCTTCGTTGGATTTCTTCAATTTCTTCTTCTTTGTGGTTCTTTGCCTATTATCTCTTCTTTTTTTGGCAAAAGATAACTTAATTAATAATAAAATTGAGGACCGGATATAAGATCGCCATAACAAAAGCTACGCTGGGGTGAGACTCAGAGTTGGAATCACGCTTACGAGCGGTCCATCTCGCTAACCCCAAAATTTGGTAGGCTTCAGTCACAGCAATGTTGCACCTTCTACTAAAAGAAAATGCAAAAAACACAAAAGAGTTCTGAGACGACAACAAATTAAAAGAACATAATCCAGTTTTTCCAGCCACTGGCAAGGGATCAACGGTTTGACCAGCCCCCGCTAAAGGTTCCTCGTGCGTATCTTTAACATCTTCTGCTACTGGTGGTACTGCCCAGACAGCACCGCCACCTCCAAGTTTTTTGGAGTTGCTTCATCCACGTCCATGCTTCCCTGATCCCCCTCCTTGCTAGCTTTCTTAGTGACCCTGCGTTTTCTTGGTGCTTCCTGAGTTGTAACAATCTCTTTGCCCTTTGAAAGGAGCCCTTCCACCATGTAACTCTCATGTTCACTTGTCGTTTTGCAGGGATATGCTCCCTCACCCCTCCAATCGCCTGGTTTGTTATTGCTAGGAATAAACCACCTGTTACCGGGATGCATTCCACCTCGCCTTGTATCGACGCGTAGTCATGGCCCATAAAGGCTTTTCCCCGATCCATGTGCCAGTATACAGATTAGAGGGACAGAAACGATCAGCATGACCAAGAACTCCACATAGAAAACAAAAGTTTGGGAGTCTCTCATAATGAAAGTTTGCCCAAATCTAACTATCTCCTTCGTGTCGGACCTGCAAGCGCCTAACCAAGGCCAAAGTAATATTAATAGTGACTCTAATGCGCAGTACCAACCTTTGTTTTCAGCGAAGACACGTTCGTCGTAGACATAACACCATTAAACTCCTCACAATGGGTGTTATCAATGTTGACTACGTGAAGTCAAAGGATAACATAGCGGATCCGCTAACCAAGGCATTGTATAGAGAACTGTTGGAGAAGTTGTCACGAGGAATGGGACTAAAGCCCATGAATTGAAAAGTTCTATAGTGGATACCCAACCTAGTTGGCCCTAGATTCAAAAGGGACAACTAAATTATAGAGCGAAGGATTGTCACTGTGGGGGTCCCAAACTCCTACCCACTCCTCGTTAAAACAGTGACTCCCGCATGAGGTTAGCAAAAACGTTTGCTTTAATGATTCTAAAATGTTGATCTACTCGATAACATTGGAAGAGTATGTGGGATGCTCGTTAAAGAATCACCTATGTGAGAGAGAAGAGGGCCGCTTCAAAGGAGAACTGTAAAAGCTCAGTTCTTTAGAAACTCTTGCAGAAGCAGGACGGTGACCCATGGCCAAAACGGGCACACCCATGAGAACAGAACAAAGTTGGAAGGTTCTTGTGTAAAGATAAGTCAATGTTTACATGACGACAGTATAGTTCAAGGACATTGAGTCTATTAGACAGCCAGTAAATAAACGTGTCTTTACAGCAGAAGGTTCAAAGGATAAAACCTACCTCCCCGTATGCAAGGATCATCCGGTGAACACAACGTGTCCTCCTATCTCCATGTCTTTTTAAGTCTCGAAAATCAATTTTCATTCATGTGGGGGATTGTTGGAAAAATGTGTTGTTATATTTTTAACCCGGAAGGCAAACCACCAAAATCAGTGGGGTAGATGTCGGGGAACATCTACCGGATTTTATTAAAAAAATTAAAGATACACCAGAAAGGGGGACTAGGCCAAGACCTTTCCAGGAGGCATTCCTCCCAAAAAACGGACAAAACATGAAATGACTCTAAAACAGCAATTGGGGGGGCTGGACCTGACCCAATTGTCAAATACATAAACAAAAAAAGAATCAACATCTAATAGAAGGGATGTAAAAAATGTCCATAAAGAAAGCCCTTCTAGCCCGAATAGGAAGTGTAGATGGGCTAGCATATCGTTTTTTTGGGCCCGTGTGATCCAACGATAAGAAGTGGGCTACCCAGTTACCTTCGCGCATAACATGACCGAAGCTCAGACCTTTCCTCTTCGCAAAGACTCTGGTTTCCTGAATTAGATCCGACCAGCACCTTGCATCTCCATCACTCATTAAAGCTAACGCCATAGTTGAATCAGATTCTACCTGAAACCCATCGTATCCATCGTTAACCGTACATCGAACAGCCTCTGCGAGTGCCTTGAACTCAACTTCCACCACAGACGATGCTGAAAGTGGAAAGCTAATAGCCCATAACATCTTCCCCTCAGAGTTTCGAAGAATATTTCCTCCCGAAGCACCATCAGGTGAGTACTTAGCATCCAAATTCAGTTTCAACAGTGTATTAGGTTTACGCCATCAGATAATTTGAACAGTATTACCTCGTGCTTTGAAATTAGGCGTGACCATCTCTTCTTCCTTCAAAATAATGTTAACAGTGTTGTTCTTCAGTCTAGGAAAAGACCAAGAACAGTTTCGAGTATATGCTTTAGTTTGAGATATGATATTGTGTGTAATACATGCACTATTGTCTGAGTGATTTCCCCAAACCAAATTTGTATAAGATTTCAACATATGCCAACAAATAATTCCTGGCATATTATGTTTAAAGATATCCATCACATTTTTCTGACCAGCCTTCAACCACCAATTTTTGAAAATATGACTGATATTCTCGCTCTGAGGATT